ACAAAACTGCTCTCTACACATATATTTGCTTTATTTCTCATACTAAAGACTTGCTTCTGAGATTCACTGGCAGCTACACTTACTTTCCATCTTTGTAATAAAGATGGAAAAATTAATAAGCAAAACAACACTATCTTATAGAAATGAGTCTGATAATGTGACCTTGCTTTTGCAGTACTTAAAGGAATAAGAAGTATGAAAAAGCCTAGAAGGTACTCACGAAAGAGAAATTTGTACTCATTTCATAAGCAAGTAGCAAAACACTGGAAGTGTGCAGCTGCATGCTTTAGCAGCTATCTGGCCTGTTGTATGATGTCTAAGATCTATCAGCATTCAGGATGCATACTCATGATGTGAAGACATGACTTGCTGTGATTATTCTCTGTGACAGTGGGTTAAATGAGACTGCAATAGAATAGGAACACCAACATAAATGTGAGCAAGGACCAGTTATCATAAATGAGAGAGAAAAAGTAATAGCAGCAAGATTTTTTGTTGCTTCCCTTTTTACCTATTCAGACAACTTGACTTTGCTTTGTAATTGATAGAACTCTTGCCTCAACTATTTTTGTACTTGGAAATAGCTTTATACAGTGAAGTTACTCCTTGTGTTCCCCTTATTCATTCTAGACCTCTGGAGATCTGCAGAGAAAGAATTGGGGGGTCTGCGTGTTATGTTCAGAAACACAAGAAACTCCAGTATAAGATGCATGAATTTTCTCACAAAGGCCATTAAAGATAAACCTTTTTTATTGTTATTTATTAAACTGCAGATTTGGTTACAATAATAGATGACATGGGAAAAAAGAGTTTGCAGTTGGTTAAGCAGATAAACCTACAAAAACCAGAGGTCTGTGGGAAAACTGATTTAAACAAAGGGTGCTTGCAGGAGAAAAGGTTGGGAATCAGTGTTCTAGATAAAGACATAATCATATTCCTCTGCATAGCATCCTTTCCTCTAGTTTTCTGTTTGATTCTAAGCTCATTGTCATAATCTTGAAGATGACTGAAGACTTAACATTTCTCATTAGATGACTAAATATTGAACTATATAGTATCACATATCCACATGCCAAATCCCATGACAAGATTAAATTATATTTCTCCCAAACTTTATCCATTTTTACTAAGATATTTTAGATCTTACACAATAGCAGAATCAGTATATACTGTAGAACATGTTTTACCTATTTGGAAGTGCCACCCCAATCCCTTGATTCCTGTTGATGTGGGGGCTTAGGAGATCGGGAAAGGCCCAATGTAGGGGATCACCCTTGCCTTGGTCCTCAGCCCTCACCTCAACCAATTTTGCATGGTCTTTTCTACTTCTTTCGTTTTCCTTTTTCTCATCCCCCTGTTCTGTCCATTTATCCTAATTGTTAAAATAATTTTTACCATTTTTGCCACAATACTGTATCATAATGCTCTGTACTCCCTCAAGTCCTTCCCCTTTTCACAACCTTTTCCTTATACTATACCCCATCAGTACCCCCTTTCTTCCCTTTTCAGTACCATACTACCCTTTAGTACTGTTCAACCTGTAACTTTACCCAAATCATTAACTCATTCCTAACCCTTTTTGCTACTCTACTTTACCATAGTGCCATATGACCTTTGATATCATATAGCACTTCCTTACCTGGGGGCAAAATCCCCAAGCCTCACACTATTACTATTTTGAATGCACCACTAATGACCTTAGATATTGACTTAGCCAAAAATTTTCAATAGATAAATAAATATTTGGAAGTGGACAAGAAAGTTACATAGAAAGTTCAGAATTTTTTGTTGTTGAAGTTCAGATTTTTTCACAAACAGCTAGCCCTAACTGGAAAAATCAAGGCTTCAAATAGGTTGGAAAATGAAAATAGTCAGTTCCACAATATAACTACAAAGATTGTTGCGTTTCAGTAGTTTGTAGTTGAAGCTACTGAATCAATTGGCTGCAAATTTAAGTACTATCCACTGTAATTTTTTTGTGAATTTTGTTGTACACAAATGGTTCCACAAATTCTCAGCCACCAAGGAGTCAATTAGTAGGCTCAAGTGACAACACCCATTCCTCGAATTTGCAGGCATGTTTTTTTTTATTCATATTAGTGATGACTCTACTATTATTATTACTGACATTATGATTAATGTTATCAAAATACTAATAACAATAAAAATTATAAAGTAATCAGAAGAATCTTTCCAAAAATCAAGGAAGGGGGTAAATAGAAGAGATAGGTAGGACTAATTGACTTGTGAAGCCATTTCCGTGTAAATACAATCAACATATACAATGGGCATGGGATGTATTCATTCCATCAGCAGCCATTTGGTTAAGCACTGGCCTATAGACTTATATAAAAAAAATTAACTAAGTTTACTAATGAAATTTAAACCACTCAATTTTTGTTCTTTTACCAAAATGGTTTTAGAGGTAATCCTAAGGGGGCTGTGCATACCCATTGCTTTCTTTGTTTTAAGCTCTGGTACAATCCATGGTTCAGCTGAATAAAAAAACTATTTATGATAAACTTTACTGCAGTCTTCTTAACCCATTTTTTTATAATTATTATTATTATCATCTCTTTCAAAAATCAATCTCTAAGGTTGTCAAGCCTTTAAACAAGGGTGATTCTTTTCAAGAAAACTCAGATTACAGGTTTGACACTTTTCATCATTATTTTTCTGTACCATCTTTCTCATTAATATCTTTGCAATATGTAAAACATATATGCATGAGTGCATTGGTAAAGACAAAATAATAATAATGCCAATCATATTTTTTAATACACTCAAGATGCTATCTACTCTCAAATTGAATTTTTAGCCCTTTGAGGAAACTGATAGTTTTAAACAACACTTAACGATTATTGGATTTGAGGTGGGTCAACTTAGTTCTTATGCTAGAAACAGTTTTACATAGAATAATGTTCACACCACTGTGGAGTGAATTCACTTTAATGACATCTCATCCACCCAAATTAAAATAGTCATCCAATAGAAATAATTAAATTTCCTGAAGTGCATTAAAGCTCATATAAATATTTAGAAAGCAATGGATGTTTTGGACTATGATAAATAGCCAACTGTAAAGTAGGTCTTACCCTTTTTACCACTGAGAATTTACAATTACTTCCTGTATTAAAAGTTGTAAACAACTATTACAAGAATTTCAATCATAACTACAGAAATTCTAAAGTTGTGAATGATTTGATGAGATACAAATCATAGAAAACCAAACAAAAATAATCATTCATCCATGGTAGAACAGAAGAAACAAAGCAGAACACAGTAAAATATACCCAGAACTTTTCTAAATCTAAAAATCTAATTAAAATAACATATTTAAATATTTATTGAAAATTTTCTGCTGCATCAACATGTAAGCCCATTAACAGCATATTTAAAATATAGTAATAGATAGTGCAAGGCATAAGAGCAAAGCCCCCAGGTAAGAAATTACTATATGACATCAAAGGTCATACAGTGCTATGGTAAAGTAAAATGGTGACAAGAGTAAAGTTAATGTTTGGGTAAAGTTGCTGGTTGAACAGTACTAGAGGGTGGTATGGTAGTGAAAGGGTAGAGAGGGGAAGCTGATTTGGGTAAAGGTATAGGTTGTTAGACGGGGAACAAGTTAAAGGGGTAGGGAGCATTATGATTTGTAGCGAAATCATCAAAAATGAGTTTAATAATTAGGATAAGTGGATAGAACAAGGGGATGAAAAGAAAAGGAAAAGGATAGGAATAGAAGAAAAGACCACTGAAAAATTAGTTGAGACAAGGGCTGAGACTAAGGTAGGGGTAATCCCTAACATTGGGCCTCAGGGAAGCAAGGGATTGGGGAGGAAATGATGACATGTATGGAATAAAATCTTACGAATAGCAAGTAAAATGATAAACCACCCTCCATTACAGTTCAAAATATTTAAACTGCTTTTATATATGTATCTATCTATAGTAGTGTTATGCTGGAGCTTGCATAATTCATGTGAAAATATTTTATTCTATCTATACTATAAAACACTCAATGTTTTGCTGATTCGTTATTAACCAAAAGGCCCCAGGAAAATGTTGTATTCATTGAATTGTTTTGTGAAACTGTTTCACCATCTTTCCTTGAGTTTGCTGGAAAAAACACTTTTTTTTCTAATGCTATAAATATCAGGCTATTATTTTTAATATAGACTTAATAATTATCATAATTATTAACAGAAATATTAGATACAAAAAAAATATGTTCAAAAATCAAGGATAAGGGTAAACAGGAGAGACAGGTAGCACTTGCAATTGGCTCACTGGTGACTTAGTATTTGTGGGAGCCATCTGTGCGTAAAAACAATTAACATATTAAACTTCTAGTTGGAATGGCAAGTACCTACATGCCATCCGCAGCAGCTTGTGATTAACATAATAGATAAACTAAAATAGCTGCCTTAATATCCTTCTATTTATATTTTCATAATTATTATTGACCTATTTACATGGACTTGATATGTAATGGTATTCATGAAAGCATGTAAAATTGTATTTCCTTAAAAAATCTGTTTCATTTGAGGCAGACATGTAAATTGTTCATGACGTAAATGGTGATACAGATATAATAAGGTAATGGTAAAATGAATGAGAAAACATAAATCTAAAATGATTATAAGGCATGTCAGTACTATTGTCCTCTTTTATTTTATTTGCATTTTTAGTAGCTTGTTTTAAAATTTTTCCTCCAATGTTTTTGTCTTCTAGCTTTATGTGACCAGATGAAAATATCAATAATTTTTATCATGAAAGCTTAACATCATAAAGATTGTAATAGTCTTGAAATATATAAATATGTGTTGGTGGTTTCATTTCTATTTTACCTTACGATAATGAATTTTTCAAAATTCATGTCTGGTACAGTACACATGGAAACTGAAATATTATGGAGAATTTTAAAATAAAACACCTTTTTATATATCACTTTAATCTGTTTTACAAGATTTAAAATAATTTAATGAACCCCCCCCCTCCCAACCCATTGTAGAAAAAAAAAGTCAAAACCAGCATCTATAGGTATCTATGTATTTCATACCAAATGCCTATCACAAATGTACTTCATTAATAAAATTTTATTAGAAACACACATCAGTCTTAACTCAGTTTCTCCAAGCAACAGGAACATCATCTGTTCTAAATCTCTGTGTAACCCACGTGTCATCTAACGTAGAAGTAATACCTGACTGGAACATGCAGTACCCAGCCTGAGCAATCATGGCTCCATTGTCAATGCAAAAGCTTTCGTTGGTGGCAAATAGTTTAGCCCCTCGCTCCTCACACATCTTCCCCATCATCTCTTGCAAGCGCTCATTGCAGCCAACACCCCCACAGATGAGGACCTCCTGTGAGCCACAGTGAGCCATGGCCCGCTCTGTGGTCTCCACCAACATGGCAAACACTGTCTCCTGCAGCGAGAAGCAAAGGTCCGCCTTGGAGTACTGACCTGTTTTGAGAAGTTTATCCGCTCTTTCTTCCAAGTAAGAGAGAATCCCAGAGAAAGAGACATATATGAAACTAATATAAATAACTAATATATGAAACTAATATAAATAACTAATATATGAAACTAATATAAATAACTAATATATGAAACTAATATAAATAACTAATATATGAAACTAATATAAATAACTAATATATGAAACTAATATAAATAACTAATATATGAAACTAATATAAATAACTAATATATGAAACTAATATAAATAACTAATATATGAAACTAATATAAATAACTAATATATGAAACTAATATAAATAACTAATATATGAAACTAATATAAATAACTAATATATGAAACTAATATAAATAACTAATATATGAAACTAATATAAATAACTAATATATGAAACTAATATAAATAACTAATATATGAAACTAATATAAATAACTAATATATGAAACTAATATAAATAACTAATATATGAAACTAATATAAATAACTAATATATGAAACTAATATAAATAACTAATATATGAAACTAATATAAATAACTAATATATGAAACTAATATAAATAACTAATATATGAAACTAATATAAATAACTAATATATGAAACTAATATAAATAACTAATATATGAAACTAATATAAATAACTAATATATGAAACTAATATAAATAACTAATATATGAAACTAATATAAATAACTAATATATGAAACTAATATAAATAACTAATATATGAAACTAATATAAATAACTAATATATGAAACTAATATAAATAACTAATATATGAAACTAATATAAATAACTAATATATGAAACTAATATAAATAACTAATATATGAAACTAATATAAATAACTAATATATGAAACTAATATAAATAACTAATATATGAAACTAATATAAATAACTAATATATGAAACTAATATAAATAACTAATATATGAAACTAATATAAATAACTAATATATGAAACTAATATAAATAACTAATATATGAAACTAATATAAATAACTAATATATGAAACTAATATAAATAACTAATATATGAAACTAATATAAATAACTAATATATGAAACTAATATAAATAACTAATATATGAAACTAATATAAATAACTAATATATGAAACTAATATAAATAACTAATATATGAAACTAATATAAATAACTAATATATGAAACTAATATAAATAACTAATATATGAAACTAATATAAATAACTAATATATGAAACTAATATAAATAACTAATATATGAAACTAATATAAATAACTAATATATGAAACTAATATAAATAACTAATATATGAAACTAATATAAATAACTAATATATGAAACTAATATAAATAACTAATATATGAAACTAATATAAATAACTAATATATGAAACTAATATAAATAACTAATATATGAAACTAATATAAATAACTAATATATGAAACTAATATAAATAACTAATATATGAAACTAATATAAATAACTAATATATGAAACTAATATAAATAACTAATATATGAAACTAATATAAATAACTAATATATGAAACTAATATAAATAACTAATATATGAAACTAATATAAATAACTAATATATGAAACTAATATAAATAACTAATATATGAAACTAATATAAATAACTAATATATGAAACTAATATAAATAACTAATATATGAAACTAATATAAATAACTAATATATGAAACTAATATAAATAACTAATATATGAAACTAATATAAATAACTAATATATGAAACTAATATAAATAACTAATATATGAAACTAATATAAATAACTAATATATGAAACTAATATAAATAACTAATATATGAAACTAATATAAATAACTAATATATGAAACTAATATAAATAACTAATATATGAAACTAATATAAATAACTAATATATGAAACTAATATAAATAACTAATATATGAAACTAATATAAATAACTAATATATGAAACTAATATAAATAACTAATATATGAAACTAATATAAATAACTAATATATGAAACTAATATAAATAACTAATATATGAAACTAATATAAATAACTAATATATGAAACTAATATAAACAAATATGGCAGCCTCCATAATCATAGAACTGAAAGGAACTAGACCTTGCTAGATTTCATTAATTTTAGGGAAAAATCTACTGGAAATTTTTACTCGTCCATGCGGACAAGCGAGGTAAACATTTTACTTGTCCTCCACAAGTTTACACTCATCAAAGACATGCGGACGTGGGATTTTTCTCAGCCTGCAATGTATTCTGACCAAAGAAAGAAAAAAAAAAAAAAAAAAAAATCACATTCTATATAACAAATTGAGATTTTATTCCATAGCATCATGATAATATACTCCTCAGTAAAAATAAAACTAACCCATCAAATTATTTTCTTCCCCCCCTCCAAAATCAACTTCTTTCACATCATACATACAGATAATATAACACAAAGAATAACACCTGTAATAGCCTCTTTACCTGATGGTGCTTAGCTGTGTCATGAGGAATAAAGCCTTGGCCAGGAGGAGTGATATATGTCCGTCTTGGATTTGATAGGACTTCTCCATCTCGGATGATACCTATTCCGCACTTGTTTGCGCTTCCTTCCAGTCCTATAATGACGACCATCTTTACTGGAGTTGGGGTACTTCTCTCTGGTGTCAGATGAAATTAAAATAAATAAATAATTCATGCACTATTACAATGAAAGGAAGTTGATACTTAATAATATGCTGTATCACAATGTTTGGCTTGAACTTGAAATCAAATAAAAAATATAATTTCTGATCAATTCATAACTAAAATTCCTTATTATTAACTAAAAAATGTATTCATGAATATTTCCTTGTTATATTTGGCTCAAAATGGACATTTTCTTTTTACTATAAGATAGTTTTGGTGAAGAGTCTTCACCTTTTACACAGACTTTTAAAAATTTAATAAACAAAATAAAGACAATATCCACGGTTAAACAAAACTGTTGTATCATTTACATAGTATAAAAGCCAATAGTATATAAGGTATATATTCAATGACTGGAAGAAGCATAAATATTTGTATGCAATAAAATTTCATTTTCAAAGTTAAGCCAGCAAACACCACATTAAGTTAAAAATTTAGAAGATATATGTGTGCCTGCGATAGGCTTGACACTTATTGGCAAATGCTACGAGCTTGTTGGCACTCTGACAAAGGCCAACAAACCTCTGCTGCCATTTACCCTATCAAGATAACATTCATTAACATCCCTCATGACTTATCAATAAAGAAATCCATCAGTGCCCTATTAAGCTGGAATATACTTGATGGCGGTCTATTGGCTCTTTTTGAGATTACTAGTGGATTTGGATACAGCACTATTAACATAACTCTCTGAAAAAATCATATTTGGAAAGTTACCCTGCGTTTTACTGATAAATTATTTACATATTATTTAATACAATATCTAATATCTACTTTCACAGTCTTCATTAGTTAGTTTAACATTTAATATATAACATTCATCACTTATAATAGTACAATATTCATATGATGTTCATAACATAGGTGAGAGAAGGGTTATATAAGTATATTAAATAAAGAAATAAAAATAAATCCAGTGCAGTAACTTCTAAATTTCTCATTGTCACTGAAAGCAAGAATGTTTAGCATCTGATTCTTATCAAATGACAGTGAGAAAGCAACACTTAATTTACTAAAAGACAAAAAAATAAAGATGTAACTCCCTACATTAGGGACACACTCGCCAGAGACCAAGTCCCCCTTCCCAAGTGCCCAAAATTCCCAAATTTAACAATCTAAGTTCCCACAACTGGGGTACGGCCGACATCCCGAGGTTGACGGAACTCGGGAGCATCGGGTTGGCCTAGGCTGTGAGCGCCACTTTACGGGGTCTCCTTTTATTTGTCCTGCTGATTATTTCTTGCACCAACGACTGCAGCTTTTGGTATGCGACAAGAATATCCTCCTCAATCAGAAAATAAATAATTGCGGGATTCAATAGCCACGAGACGCTAAAAATTGACCTATTCCGGCAAGATAAGAGTCTCATTCCAAATGACCACGCTGTAAAATACTGATATTAAGGAGTCAATTAAATAATAAATAGGAAAACAGGAAAACAAAAACAGGAAAAAACAGGAAAATAAAAACAAAGCGGAAAATAAAAACATCTAAAAACATAAAACATCTAAATAAAATAAAACACCTAAAAATAAAAACATCTGACATTTCCTAAACAGGAAAATAAAAACATCAATGAACTGCATTGTTCGTGTTGCAGCACATTGGACTTTAAATACCAAGTATGGGCTAAAAGAAAAGAAAAAATAGAAAGAAAAATTCTGCATAGTTATATACGGGTTGCTTATTCACCGAAAAAAAAACATAAATATATAAATCTTTTAAGAGATTATTGTCAAAACGAGAAAATCCTGAACATCAAAATGCTTGAAAAATAACACACAAGAGCATATCCATTATTCAGTTCTCAAGCACTGAAAGCATTACAGCAATCACACACACAGACACACTAAATAAAATAGAATAGTTTCATTTTCCCACAGCCATTCGTTAAAAAATAATAATAATAATAATAAGAGTAATAATAGGCTTCCATACCAGAGTCCAGAGCACGTGCGCTATGTATCAGCACATCGAGTGAATTACTCTAATTTCTATTCTAATTCACTAGAGAAGAAGGTGAAAAGTAAGAGTCGGGAATGAAACTCTATAATATGATGTTGCCATTTACATAAATAAGCGAAATAAGAATCTTTGAAACATAGTGAATTCTTGAGTTTCTATGACGTCACGGTATTCTATTATTGAATATGCACGAATTTAATGCTATATCCTATAGCTTTAATGCTATATCCTTTTATTTTAACAATAAATCATAACTAATACCTTTAATGAATAGTTTTGATAAAAGCGAACCCTTTACTTTTTGTATAGTTAATGATAAAATGTTTTATACACCGCATCCCTTTTCAAATAAATACCAAATATACCAAAATTCAATGAAAAAAACAAGGCATAAAAAATGGGTTTCTTTATTCTATAGTAGCAGTAGTAGTGATAGAAGTAATAGCAGTAGATATTAGTATTCAGCAGTATTGTTATTACAAATAGTAGTAGTAGATAATGTTGCTACTTTTATCATTATTGCAAGGGTTATTATCATTATTACTATCAGTGTTGTAATTATCATCACTATTATAATACTGTTATCCTTATCATTGTCATTAGCATCATTGTTATGAATATTGTTATTATCATTATCCATATTATTATTATCATTACTATCATTAGTACCATTATCATTACTATTGTTGCTATTCTATTATTATTGTTATCATTATTATTATTATTATTATTATTATCATCATTATTATTGTTATTATTATTATTATTATTATTATCATCATCATCATTATTATTACTACTATTACTATTATTATCATTATTAATATTACTATTATCATCATCATTTTCATTACTATTATTATCACTACTATAATAATCATTCTCAATATTACTATTCTCATTATTATTATTCTCATTATTTATTATTGTTATTATTGTTATTATTATTATTATCATTATTATTATCATCATTATTATTATTTTTATTATTATTATTATCATTATTATTATTATCATTATTTTTATTATTACTATCATTATTGTTATTATTATTATTACTATTATCATTATTATTGTTATAATTATTGTCATTATCATTATTAATATTATTATTCAGTAATTATAATCATTATTAATATCAACCATTGTAATCATTATCAATTATTATCATCATAATCATTATTATCATTATTATTGTTGTTATCATTATTACTATTATTATTATTATTACTATTATTATTATTATTACTATTATTATTATCATTTTTGTATTTTACTTATAATTATGATTATAATTATTATTATTGTTATTATTATTATTATTGTTATTATTATTGTTATTATTATTGTTATTATTATTATTATTGTTATTATTATTATTGTTATTATTATTATTGTTATTATTATTATTGTTATTATTATTGTTATTATTATTATTGTTATTATTATTATTGTTATTATCATTATTATTATTATTACCGTTATTGGTTTACTATTATTATCTTTATTATTGATATTGCTATTGTTCCTAATTTTTATTATCATTATGACTGTTATTCCTGTTATCATTTCTCATTATCATTATTGTCGTCCTTCTTCTTGTAATTAAAATTATTAATATTATTAATATCATTGTTTGGTTTATTGTCATTTCGTAATAATAAGGATAATAATGATAATGGTAATGATAACAATAAAAATCATTATTATTACTGGTATTATCATTACTAATATTGTTATTACTATTATCATTATCATTATTATCATTATCATTATTATTATTACTATTAACATTGCTATTGTTATTATCATTATCATCATCTTTATTATTAGTAGTAGTATTACTACTGTTAATATTGTTCTTGTTATTATCGTCATTATCACTATTACTACTATTATCATTATTATTACCATCATCGCTATTATCATTATCGTTGTTGTTGTTATCGTTATTGTTGTTGTTATTATTCATATTATCATTATCATTAACATTATTACCATTATCATCATTTCATTGTCATTATCATTATTATTATTACATTATTACTGTGAGTCTTACACAGTTTTAGATGGCTTTTAATTTTCAGTTCGCCCCCAATGACTTAAGAAAATCAGTTGTTTACGTTCAAACACATAGGAAACCCAATAACTTTCTAATAATTCTTGCAGTTCCAAGTAAACACGTTTTTTTTTTTTTTTTTTTTGTAAGGAGTCGATGTCAGCTTCGCAATCAAGGTTTTGAAGATTTTTTGCCTCAATAGCAACAATATGATTATATGATTTATCTACATACTCAACCCCATGTTTCTTGTATAACCTCCAGTGCAAAAGAGCGGCCACTATCAAGGCGCCATTTTTTATATCCATTCTGAGCCAAACACTTGCACTCTGAGACAACATAGCTAATCGTCTCGTCTCTCTCTGTTCACATTCTACGTAATTTTTTTTTCTTTTTTTTTAATATTGGCTCACCCTATTCGTTCGCAAGGCCTGGTCTTGGGCGGTCATCAATAACTCTCCTGTTTCCTTTTTCAAATAGCCTTGCCGCATCCATGTCCATGATATTTTTTCATCTATTTGCTCCTAAGTGTTTTCATCAAGTAATGAGAGTAATTTCTTCCCCGTAAAAAAAAAAAACATATTTTCTCTTTATACTCGACTCTGCTTTTGTTACTTCGGGATTTACACACCCACTCAGAACGTCTTCTTTCACTATTTCACGTGTCAGCTGCTCACCCGAGTTTCACACTTACTTTGACAAACTATTTTTCTCAAACAATACATTTTTCTTAACATTTGATAGTCTCCTTACTCCTTCCTTTTTTATGTACAATCTATTGATGTCTGCACGTGGGTATATGCTTCTGTATATAGTGAGCATTTTCTGTTTTTTGCATAGATATTAGCTCCTCCAAAGTCCAATCATTTATTCCAGCCCCATATCGGATTATTGACACTGCCCTTCAATTGACTGCACTGGTTATATTAGCAACGTTTAATCCTGATCTCAATATCGTTCTGATCCGGAGAAAATACTCTGTCATTTCAGTGTTTTGGATCCTATCACTCAGAATTATTCCTAGATACTTATATCCACTTTCCTCCAGTGCTCTTATCTGTTTTCCATTAGGTAAGGAGATTTCTTTTGACTGTAACAGTTTGCCTCTTTTTATTTCTGCACCCGTCAGGTCCACTGGCTTTCCACTTGCGCAGTTTCATAATCCTTTCTCTTACTTTCATGGTTTGCTTATCATTTTGCCGATTCACATCTGAGAACCTGTTTTTTCACTCCTTTCAACCATTCTACATTCTCGTCGTGTAACTTAATATCTCCCCATATACCACTAGAAATTTACACTTTCTTCAGCAGCTGGTTTTCTTTCACTTCCAGTCTTTCGTAAATTCAGTTTTTCAAACAATCTTCGTTGGTTGTACTAAAACATTCTATTCTGCTATTACATCTCTCTTTATATTTCCTTATTTTTACCTTGGTATCTTTGACCCTGTTTTAATTATTCAATGAACTAGGAAAATCCTTATTTCTTATACAGTATATCCGTTCTAGTCGTCTTTTTTTCCATTTTTCTCAGATTTTGTTTCTGCTAGTTCTAAAATACAAATATTTTTTTCTTATTTCTGTAATCTTTTATTGATCGACTTTTCCACCATGGTTTTTGTTTTGATTTGTTATATTTAGAATGTCCTGTCGTATGATCTTTAATTGACACGTTTTAGATTCCCTGAATTCCTAGTGAGCATTTTTAGTTCTTTAGGCAATGCTATCTTCTCTTCATCTAATTTCTGAATGTCTCTCATGATCTGTGCTTGGCCGTACAATTGTTACCTCTGTTAATGTTTCTTCTCCAACTAAATCATTCCCTTCTTTACTTGGCTGTTCTCTTTTACATCTTATTTCCTCAGTTTCATCATCCGATAACCACCTCCTTTTTGTAATACATAATTTTTGCCTATTATGTTGCTGTTCGGTCATTTCAAATAAATAAATTTCTTTATTCCCCTCCATCCTTAGTTTGTCTTCATTCATCACTGTTACTCTAATCTTCCCGTGGCTCCAGTCCTGTTTGCGCCGTTACCTTCAGTACCTTGATTAGATACGATACTCATATTTGAGGATTGGTTTCTCTAAGATTTGGCTTCCTTGGTGATTTTAGCCTGACACCAAAACGTCGAACGTCGCTAACCAAGGCTTAAGACTCCTTCCTAGCCATGAGGCAATCGGCTAGCCCCGCTGTACGCCAACCCGGTATTTGTGGGGAAAAATTATTATTATTATTATTGTTATTATATATATCATGTTATCATTATTGTTATTGTTATCATTATTATCATTATTATCATAAATTATCACCATTATCATCTTTTTTATCATTATTATTATTTTCATTATTATTGTGATTATTATCATTAGTATTATCCTTAGTATTATCATTATTGTTGTTATTATCATTGGTATTATCATTATTACCATCATTGTTATTATCGTTATTATTGTTATTATTATTATTATTATAATTGTTATTATTGTCATCATTATTATTATCATTATTATTATATCATTACTCTTATCATTATGTTATTGTTATTATCATTATTATTATTATTGCTTTTATCAGTATATATTATCATTATCATTATCATAATTTCTATTGTATCATCAATACTGTCATCATTATCTTAATACTTACTATTGTTGTTATCAGTAATAGCAGCGAGAGTAATAGCAGCAATATTAGTAGTAATATCACTTCACAACTTATTAGATATATGGATTACAATATCTTTGATTGTCTTATCTAATTATTATTTAAAAATTATTGAAAAATCAGTATTGTCTGGTCAAGTAGCCAATACGCTATATTGTGTTTCACGTATTATACATATATATATATATATATATATATATATATATATATATATATATATATATATATATATACATACATATATAAGTGTATATATATATATATATATACATATATATATATTTATATATATATATATATATATATATATATGCGTGTTTGTGTGTGTGTTTGTGTGTTGTGTGTGTGTGTGTGTGTGTGCTGTGTGTGTGTGTGTGTGTGTGTGTGTGTGTGTGTGTGTGTGTGTGTGTGTGTGTGTGTTTGTGTGTGTGCGTGTGTATGTATATATGTATATGCATATATACATATACTTGTTTACACACACACAAACACACACACACACACAACACACACACACACACACGCACACACACACACACATATATATATATATATATTACACGTATACATACATACATACATATATATATGTACTATATATATACATATATATATATATATATATATATATATATATATATATATATATATGTATATATATAATGGTAAATGGACAATGGTAAAAAAAAAAATAATGTGATAGACATCCAAGGTCATATAGGACTATGATAAAATATTGTGGCGAAAAGGGTAAAAATGAGTTAACGTTTAGGATAAGTGGAAAGAAGAAGGGGTGAAGAAGAGAAGAAAAAGGAAAGGGAAAAGAAAAGATCATACTGAGGTCCAAGGTAGGGGAGAACCCCGACACTGGGCCTCAGCCTCCGTTTCTTTAGCCTCCCCCCCCCCCCCCACTACAACAATGAGCAAGGGATTGGGGTATATTTATCTTTTTTTTCTTCTTTTTTTTTCTTTTTTGAGGGGAGCGGGCGGGTTATCCGTTATGAATAATATTAAACGAAGGGCTTGAACATTCTTGCATAATACGCAAGGCGCAATGCATGACTAAGGATGGATGATACATAATAATAGATAGCTTATTACGGCCAATTTATGCATTATGAGCAATGTTTGCACGTAATATGCGTAACCTCTCATGGTTTTGAAGTGTAATTCAATATTTGAACCATTATTTTAATTCATAATGCATATCCATTAAATCATATGAGATTATTGATGTCAAGTGTATGATCTAGTTACATTTAAAGACATAATTCATATTTTCCTGAGTTGGTACTTTAATTTTTAATTCATATCTATTACTTTATGACAGATTATTGATACCAACCAACGTATGACCCAGCTACATTTGTCATATACAGCACATTTAGATATATAATTTGAATACAACATATATAAATCTATCATTTACATACAACACACTGAAATGTATAATTCATATACAACATATTGAAATGTGTAATCCATATATAACACACTTAAAATTACAACTCATATACACCACATTTGAATATCTAATACACATACAACACAATTAGATATAAAACTCACATACATAACTCTCACACAGCACATTTAAACATATGATTCACATATATAACTCCTACATAACACAAATAACATTTTCCTTAGTCTGCGCTGGCCTCCGAGTGTCCGCACCGGAGCCCAACCGCCCGCGCAGATGTAAACAGACGTCAGCTGATCGACATCGACCCAAGCCTGAGAGGGGTTGGGTGTGTCACTTCGGAAAGCCATCCCTACCCCTCTTGCTTGCCTTTTTCTGTTATTTTTGGGAGTGTTTTAAGTGCTTTTGTGACCTGCGGTGAGGACTGGACGACTGATTCTATCAAGTGTGAGTACACACTCTTTGTTTTAATAGTTAAAACAGACGAAATGCCCTTTAATTTTGACACATTGTTCTCCCATCTGCGTAATTCATTTGACATTTCTATGTTTTATTGTGACAGATATGTTTTTTTTGCAAATGCAAGCTGCAAGCACACTTATTTATGACCAGTATGTAAATAACACTGCAAGAATACAAAATGTCGGCTCATATATGTTCAGGATTTCAGCGATGTGGTATTAGGTTACTTTGCGGTGGTAGCGGAGTGTCAGTGACTCATCTAGGTCCCATGTGGAGGGGGCAACATTTAATCCTGGACGCTCCTTTGTGTATGTGCGTGTGTGTGTGTGTGTGTGTGTGTGTGTGTGTGTGTGTGTGTGTGTGTGTGTGTGTGTGTGTGTGTGTGTGTGTGTGTGTGTGTGTGTGTGTGTGTGTTCTTTATTAAGAATGGGGTTTGAATTGATGTTTGATTAGTTCAGTATACTTAAGATTTGAAGGAGGCTTTACGCAGTATGTTTTCATTCTTGTATACATATACAAACGCCCTTCACTCACGCACATTCATACATGTACACATATACATATAAACATAGCACCTGCAACGCTAGAATTAACGCGCACATACAACCCACGCACACGCAAACACACACACACACACACACACACACACACACACACACACACACACACACACACACACACACACACACACACACACACACACACACACACACACACACACACACACACACACACACACACACACACACACACACACACACACACACACACACACACACACACACACACTCCCACTCCCACTCCCACGTGCACCCGATTGTCTCCAAGAATAAGGCACAAACATACTGGCATATGTGGTTTTAGCATTCTCTGAACGACATGGAGAAAATCGCCCCCCCCGTCCTTTAAGGAAGGTCACGTGATATCTGGTTGCAAGCTGCAATTATCATAACTGACTATCTTCACGTTACATTGATTTTCCTCCTCGGAGTTTACTGGCGACGGTCATGTCATCCAGCTAATGCCATTGTACTGTTTTATTTTGTGCTTCATGATTTTGACATATACTGCCAATATCATTTCATTGTGTTGAAAGATATATTTTGACATATACAGCCAATACCATTGCATTGTCTACTTTTTGACATATTATACAGGCAATACCATTGTACTTTTTTAACATATCATCCAGCTAGTATCTTAATACTGCTGCTTGTTTTAAAATCTTTGCTTCACAGTTCCCTCTCTACCTCTTTCGTACCACTGATACTTCTTAACTATTTTAGGCAAACATTATATTGTTTATTTTATATTCCACCATTTATTCGTAAATGCATACCGTATATCGTTATCTTTTATTTAACTAACAAGAAAACGCTGCGGTTATCTCATAAATTGCGATTAACATACTTAATTGAAAAATATTTACCGTATAACCTAGTTATTAATACTCAGCGCCGGGTGATGCTGGCTGCTTAAACAGTTCATAACATGCATAGACTCCGTTATATTCTACTAGGCCCCTTGTGCTCATTCACTCACATTCACTCATCCACTCATTACATGCTCTTTTCTGCCAGTCAGTACACAGCCATTTACTCAATCACACATTCACTCATCACATGTTCATCACACATACTATTTCCTGTCATCTTGCCATGTTCATTCACTCGTTCACACATTCATTCGTCGCACATTTGGTCCATATGTTCCTTTTTGACAGCCAACACACGTCCATTCACTCATCACAGTCTATCCACTTCCACACTCTTTCCTGTCAGCCAGAACATGTTCGTTCACTCATCCACATTCAAACCACATGCTACGTTTTGCCAGCCAGGAAATTCACTCACCCATTCACATTTACTCACCACATTTTGAGCCCACATACCCCCCTCCTCCCTTCAGCCAGAATATTTCACCCACCCATTCATCCATTCACTCACCACATATGTTTTGCACGTACTCACACACCCTCTCCTGCCAGCTGGAACATGGTCATTCGCTCACCACATACCGTGCCTACATACTCACACACCCTCTCTTGCCAGCTGGGGCATGATCATTCACTCACCATATATCGTGCCCGCATATTCACACATCCTCTCCTGCAAGCTGGAACATGGTCATTCACTCATCACATATGCCACATGCTTCTCTCCTGCCTGCCAGCACAGCCAGCGCCAGCAGTACACCCACGCAGCTCGCCAGCACGTACGCCCCGACGGCAGAGCAGCGGCCAAACCCACGCGCAAATGGAATTTAATGAGTTAATTTGCGTCTCGATAAACTAGTGACTCGGGACTTGTTGTGAGTCGTAGATTGCGGGTTGTAGATATCGGTTTGTTTTTTCTTTAATTCTATTCGCGTGCCATGTAGTCTGTCCATATGTTTATAAGTGAGGGATGCATGTCAAGTATGGGCGTAAAGGTATATGGGTTTGGGTGGTGTTGATGTGATGAGGAGGCGGATGATCTTGTGTGGTGTTGATGGGTGTTGGTGAGATAATGGGGGCACACGAATGCGCACGCAAATCAACACGTATGTTAGACACGCGCACACGCAGGCATTCGCTGAACACACACACACACACACACACACACACACACACACACACACACACACACACACACACACACACACACACACACACACACACACGTAGGTGTTTGTGCAAAGTTTCCCGTATTGATTCTAGAAGCAAAGTTAGCGCTCCGGTGCCACGCTAAAGGAAGACCTCTCTTGAATGCCGTGGAACCGGTGACATTAGGTCATCTAAAACTTAATCAGGTCAATCGAGGTCACTAATTTATAGCGCTTCCTGTTTTTATTTATTTATTTATTTTTTTTAAGGCCGACGCTGCCTGCCATTTTGTATCTCCGTGAGAGAGGGAGCGGGTAGGAAGGGGGGGGGGGGTGTAGACAAGGTTATGAGAGTGTAGGAAAAGGGATATAAAAGAAAAAGCTATGTTTGGGGGGTGGAGGGAGGCGCAACAAAAAAGAGTAGGAGAGAAAGAAAGAGAGAAGAGAAGAAGGAAATCAGGTTGAGGAATGAAGAAAGATGAGGGAAGGGATAGGTGAAGGATAGAGCAAAGAGGAAGAGAAGAAGGGAGAAAGAAAAAAAAGAGTTGAAGAAAACGGAGAGAAACGCAAAAAGGAAAGAGGGGAGAAAAGAAAGAGATAAATGGAAAGGAGTGGAAGGGGAGAGGAAAGAGGAAAAGGGAGGAAGGGAGTAAAGAGGAGGAAGAGTGGGTAAAGAGAGGAAAGATGGAGGGACTTGAACACATCGGCTGTTTTTGTAAAAGGTCTTAAAAGCAGGACTCATGTAAGCTGTCTCTTTCACAAGTCGCGGGATACATAAAAACGGATATATTTTGTATCCAAGGGAATATGTATCCTGTTATTTTTTTTGTATTATCCACATTTACTCCTTTTCTCTCTCTCTCTCTCTCTCTCTCTCTCTCTCTCTCTCTCTCTCTCTCTCTCTCTCTCTCTCTCTCTAACTCTCTCTCTCTCTCTCTAACTCTCTCTCTCTAACTCTCTCTCTCTCTCTCTCTATCTATCTATCTATCTCTTGTTCTGTCTCCCGCTCCCTCTCTGTCTTTTTTATTAATATTTTTTTTTCTCTTTTTTATTTATTTATTTTTTTACGATGAGAGGACGTGCGCATTTCGCTTTTTTAATGCTCCGGAAGAGGGTGAATATAAGTATAAAGGCAAAGGAGATGAATCGATAAAAGAGAGGTAAATAATTGCAATAAGATATCACGCGTGTGGGCGGGAATGGAATCGAATCCGGTTGGCGTTTGATTTTCCGTGAAATTCGGGTGCCGGATTGCACAGATGCCGGATTCATGTATGTAAAATTCAGCAGATGGAACTTCATGATATCTGGGGTGACATTAAAATATTGGGATAACATCAAACTATCGAGGTAACTCTAACATATCTGTATAATATGAAACTATCGGGATAACATCAAAATATCAGGGTAATTTCAGAATATCGGGATGACTTCAAAATATCGGGATGACTTCAAAATATCGGGATAACTTCAAAATATCGGGATAACTTCAAAATATCAGGATAGCTAAAAAAAAAAAAAATATCGGGATGACTTCAAAATACCGGGATAACTTCAAAATATCGGGATAACTTCAAAATATCGGGATAGCTAAAAAAATATCGGGATGACTTCAAAATACCGGGATAACTTCAAAATATCGGGATAACTTCAAAATATCGGGATAACTTCAAAATATCGGGATGACTTCAAAATATCGGGATAACTTGAAAATACCGGGATGACTTCAAAATATCGGGATGACTTCAAAATATCGGGATAACTTCAAAATATCGGAATAGCTAAAAATAATATCGGGATAACTTCAAAATATCGGGTTAACTTCAAAATATCGGGATGACTTCAAAATATCGGGATGACTTCAAAATATCGGGATGACTTCAAAATATCGGGATGACTTCAAAATATCGGGATAACTTCAACTTACCGGAATCATTTCAAGGTAACTTCGAAATATCAGGATCAGGGGCGATTGCATTCGATAAAATGTAACAGTCTGTGTGTGTGTGTGTGTGTGTGTGTTTGTAGGTGCGTTCTTGCGAGCTTTTCCTTGTGTGTGTGTGTGTGCGTGTGTGTGTGTGTGTGGGCGCACGTGTGTACATGCGTGATTGTAGGTGCGTTCTTGCGAGCTTTTCCTTCTGTGTGTGTATGTACATATGTATTTATGTATGTATGTATATTTGCACCTCTATATATACGTGCGCATATAGTAAAAGGGAAGGGCAACCTGAAGGCGAATATCCAGTCCCTTTCGGCCAGATTTGTCACTCGAACGCCAGCTGTAACGACACCCAAGCAGCTTTAAGGTCGCGGCGCCAACGGAAAGGACGCAGAGAGGTTGGGGGGGGGGGTCAGTTAGGGGGAAGGGGGGATCTTGACTTGGGAGGGGGGGGGAGATCGCT